TATTAACTATTAGTTTAATTTCATTTTAGTTTAGAAAGTTTATTTTCTTTCTAAATGGTCTATAAACTTTGGAAATATTTCAAAATAATCTACCACTACAAAATTTTGTTAGATTTAACGAAAAGAGTAGTCCTTAAAATTTTAAAAAAATGACATTATAATCTTAATAAAATATAATGACTCAAGAAATATTTTATACAAATAAATTAGTTAAAATTTGTAATAAACTTAAGCAATTAGTCTGTTTTACAGAGCAAATTATATGCAGTCTGTCCTAAAAAATTATTTAAATGTTATTGAAAAAATAATATAAAAATAAAATTAAGGGCATTTAAATAATTTTACATGACAGACTACATACAGTTTGCTCTATAAAACAGTTTTGTGAAGAACATATTTAACAAAATAAGATTAAAAATATTTTTACTATGAATATAAATTTAAGGACTAAAAGATCAAAAGAAATGCAATTAAAGGATTAAATATTTTCTTATAAAATAAAAATATTCCGATTAAAAAAAAGGGGCATTTATGTGAAAAATAACGGACTAATGAAATTAAAATAAATGTGAAAAATGATAGACAAAATTGAAAGAATTTAAAAATAATATATGAAACTAAAAAAATATATGAAAGTAAATAAATGATTTATTAAATTAATCCTTAATTTATCTTTGTAAAATATTTATTGAGTCATCATATTTTATTAAAATTATAGTGTCAATTTTTTAAAACTTATATGATAGGTTAATTTAAAATATTTTTCAAAATTTATAAACCACTTAACAAGAAAACAAATTTTTTAAACTGAAATAAAATTAAATTGATAATTAATAAATTAATTATTAAATTAAGCTTATCACGTCAAACTAAGAGCATATTAATAAAATAAGAAATTTTTAACTCTTTATTTTCCCATTCCTTTTTCTGTTACTTTCTCCCCATCTGACACTTTCTTTCTCTTTTTGAGCCCCCTTTCTTTTTTTTCTTTTTTTTGTTTTTGATAAACCAAAAATTTTATTATTACGATATACAAGGAGTACCCAAACCCATATATATTCGTAGCACCACTAACATTGCCTATCTCAACATTAAATTGTCATCCTTCCAATGAGGCCCCCTTTTTCTCTTCTTTATTTCCATTCTCCCCTACAAGTCTACAACCCCTCCTGACAACTGTTAATTGGATCTAGCCCACACCTAAATTTCAAAAAGGCAAGAAAGGAGAGTAAGAAAGAGAAAGCCGGAGAAGGAATTTTTGGCCTCAAATAAGTTTGTTGGATGGCCAGTGACTAGATCTGGAGTTGGAGAAGGAGAAGAAAGAGGTGGATGGTCAGTGACCAAATCTGATGTTGGATTGAAGTTAGAGATAACTAAAACCTTTAAATATCCTGAGATTTATGCTGAAGAGGTTGGAAATCTTGGCAAAGTTGTAATTGAGAGAAGATCCATAAAAATATGATGTTAGGAAAGGAAGCTAAGACTGAAAATCATGTCGAAAATGAATGAAACCACTCTAAATTTGAATCGTGTATAATGAATGATGCTAATAAGATACAAAAACATCAGAGGAAAGCTAAGAATCACGGATCTAAAAAACTCAGGTTTGA